CTCTCTCTCTCTCTCTCTCTCTCTCTCTCTCTCTCTCTCTCTCTCTCTCTCTCTCTCTCTCTCTCTCTCTCGTGGCCGCCTTCATTGTCCCGTCGACAGTACGCAAGGAAGGCCGGCGCACTTGGTGATTGCGAGGTGAGTTCCCCCGCTCTCTTCTTCTTCCTCCTCTTGTTCTTCTTCTTCTTCTTCTACTTCGACTTCAGAGGAGAGAGATCATTGGTTGATCTATTGGTGACACTGTAGGATTTGACAACTTCCGAGATCAGATAACGTCAGGATTTAGGGATTAGTACCGGCGGTGTTCTGACCCGACACCGGTTACATCAGGGATTCTGTGTGACGACGACATTGGTGACCTTCGGTTAGACATCCTGGGTTATTATTTCGATGACATTTTGGGATTCTGATTCGGTGACATCTGCCGCTGCCCCTCCTCCGTGTCACCTCCCTCGTTTCTCCTGCCCCCTTCGTCTGTGTATGGTTGCACGGATCTGAAGCGCCTTTTGTGTTTGGCTTCAGATCCATGGAAAAGAAGAGGAAAAAAAAAAAAAAAATCAAACCTCGGGCCACGAGTTATATTTTTGTTGAAAAAAAAACGACAAAAAGTTCCATAAAAAATAAAGAATGAATGAAAGGAACAAAGAAAGAAACAAAGAAAGAAACAAAGAAAGACAGAAAGGAGAAGAAGAAGAAGAAAAAGAAGAAGAAGAAGAAGAAGAAGAAGAAGAAGAAGAAAAAGAAAGGAAAAAAGAAATATAACGGGTTGGGGGCGGTGGGGGCTGGCAGGGCAACGGCGGCCCTACCATGTCGCAGGGCGCCGATCGGTCGAACCCGTCAAACCCTAGCATTTCATTTACCCCCCCACCCCCTCGAACAACCTTTATTTTTTTTCAAAACAAAAGGAACCTTTTTCCTGCCTGTTGGCGCCATAGCTCCAGCGGCCTTCGACTTTCAGAGGCCTTCAGCCAAAGGCGCCACCTTGCACTCTGCAGGTACGGTTAGGATGAGGACAGGGCAGCGAGGTTAGGATGAGCACAGAGCATCTTGGCTATGGCGGGCGCTGTGGATGACGAGGAAGAAGAAGAAGAAGAGGAAGGAGAAGAAGAGGAGGACGAAGAAGAAGAAGAAGCTGAAGAAGAAGAAGAAGAAGAACAGGAGGAGGAAGAAGAAGAAGAAGCGGAAGACTACCATAGCCGTTTCTCTTCTTTCTCTTCRTCTGTTTCATGTCCTCCCTCCTCCTCCTCCTCCTCTTCGTCGGAGTTGTCTTCCTCCTCCTTGCCGTCGCCGTCTTCCTCCTCCTCACCCTTTTCCTCTTCTTCTTTGTCCTCCTCCTCTCTCTCCACCGAGTCAGATTTCTTGATGCCCTCGACATCTATCACTTCTTCCCTGCCGTCCTCCTCCTCCTGCTCCTCTCTCTCTCTCTCTCTCTCTCTCTCTCTCTCTCTCTCTCT